CTCCCCCCTCTCCTCCCCTCCCCCTCCCCCTCCCTCCTTCCCCCTTCTTCCGGGTACCTCAGAGGCTTCTCCCTTCCCCCACCCAGTAACCAGGAGGGAGAAATTACATCAGGTCCCCCTCAGGCTTGGTCTTTCCTGCTGCCTGGCATCTGTTCTCTGAGCAGAGTTACACACCTGGAGGCCTCTGCAGGGGGAGGGCTTGGGCTGCTTTGCAATTAAACCCATTCCTAGAATGGTCCCACTACCGACTTTGGTATCAAAATGTGAAAACAAGTGATTTCTTTGACCTGTTACATTTCAGGTCTGGTTCCCACAGCTGCTGCCTGCTTAGCACCTGTCTTGTAAAGAAAAAAAGACACAAGCATTGAGAGGGGGAGGCACCTCCAAGAACTCGTAGACCCACCAAAACGCTCCCCAGCTTGCTCGCGCGCACCAGCCTGGGTCCCCACCCATGCCACACCCACCCCTCCTGCATCTCTTCACCCAACAAGCCTGCACCTGCAACCCAAACACACGCAAAGCCCACTCGGCACACACAGATCCCCGTGCAAAACCCAAGCAGGTCCGTGAAGGAGCTGTGGGAAAGAGGCGGGAACAGCTAGTGTGGTTAACGAACGAGGTGGGTTCAAAGGCATGGGCGTCTTCATCACCACCATCCAATGATGACACCTAAGAATCACGGGCCCTGAACCTCAAGGCAAGCATGGCGAGGGGAAGACGAAGGTTTACACTTCAAACGTTCCAAATGCCTGGCTGGGTAGACGCTACTTTAAACAATGCTTCAGAGCTGAGCCACACTGCCCTACCCCACCCCCATTTCTGGACAGAGCTGCAGCAGCTAGCAGCATCTTAAGAACGTGGTGATCATTTTGTTGCACAAAAGCAGGGTCTTGGTCCAGTAATTTCTTTAGGTTCCAAGTGGACCAGATGCCCCCCTTGTTCTCAGGGGCCCGGAGGCCAGAGCGTCAGAGTGATGGGCCAGTGAGGGGATTCTGGACTGTGTCCGGCCACCTTCTAGTTACCCAGAGGAATGGAGGGACCCATCCAAGGACACCCAGGGGTCGATCCCATGTATTCATTTCCTAGGGCTGCAGTAACAAAGTACCGCAGGCTGGTGGCTTATGCAACAGAAATGTATTGTCTCCGGGTTCTGGAGGCTGGAAGTCCAAAATTAAGGTGTCTGCAGGCTTGGTTCCTTCTGAGGGCCGTGAGGGAGGCGTTGCTCCTGGTCTCTCTCCTTGGCTGGTAGACGGACATCTTCATCTTCCCCCGGCATTCTTCTCTTGTGGGCTGTGTCCAAACTTCCCCTTTGTACAAGGACATCAGTCATTATTGGATTAGGACCACCCTACTGACCTCGTTTTAATTTGATTACCTCTATAAACACCTGTCTCCAAATAGGGTCACATTCTGAGATACATAGTGGGTAGGAAGCCTATATTTTGGCAGGGGGAACATTCAACCCATAACACCCTGGGTCCCTTGGCCTCTCATCAAGTTCTGCCTCTGCTCTCAGGGTGGTGCCTTGGCACTGACACCTCGTAATTTTTCCATCAGTCCTTTCAGTGGCCAAGTACTTCTGGCAAATTCTCACGTCCATGGCTAATGCGGAGTTCTTAAAATCTGACAAGTTGTGAGATCAGAAACCTGGGCTTTCTTTCCCTCAAGATCTCAGGGTCATTGGCTACCCAAGGCTGGCAGGGGTCTGGAACCGCCCCTGTACTGGGGGCCCCAGGCTGCGGCGTCTTCCTCCTCGGGTTCCCCTCGGCCTGACTCCAAGCCGCTCTGTGGCCACGGCCTCGGTGTCCCGGGGGGGAGCGCTAGACCAGCAGGTGGCTGTGAGCATGTCTGTGCTTGGGGGCTTAGGGGTATCTGGTTAAAAGGCACAGAGTCATCGTGCGGGACCCTGTCTGCTACTCCCCTCTTCACCCCCAGTGACCTGGCGTCCAGGGGCTCCTGGCAGGTTGTCCCAGCCTTTGGCCTTTGCAGATGAGGATGCATTGGTGACTGCTGCTGGATTTAACTAACCCCCGAGCCAGCGAGTGCTGAGACAGTTGCCCTCCTCTGTCCCTTTGCTAGTCCCAGACCCGGACAGGCAAACCGACCTGAGCTTGAGAACGCTGATCAGGTCGGGTGCAGGCCATTTCCCTGTGTGCACCCTGCCCCCCCTCCCCCAATCCCTGCTCCCACTCTTTGAGGTGAGCGGCTCCTTCTGAGCTGGGTTCTGTTTCGTCTTCTTCCTGTTAATTAAAGTGAAGTTTCCGTTTCTGAGCAGTGCCCAACTATTTATTTCAGAACAGGCAAGTCTGAACATGGGCCTCCCAGCCACAGCGTGGGAGAGGTGGTAAAGGCACTGGGCTTTGCTGGACGGGAGCCATGGGTGCTGGGTTCCGGCAGCAAGGAGAGGGGGGTTCATTCTTAGAACACCAAGTTCAGGGTCTTAGAGATCCACTTGCCACACGCAAGTCAGGGGCTCGCTAGGGGTGGAGGGGCCACTGCTCGTGGTCACACTCACAACATTGGAAAGGACTCAGAGCAGGGGAAGGACCTACCCAAAGACATGGCCCATCCAGAGAGTACCCGGGGGGGTGTGACCCTGTTATTTGTTTCCCAGCGCTGCCTTAACACTGGTAAGTAGTACAATTACACTGTTAGAAATTCTTTCCTTTGGCTCATGCAGGTTTTGTGAAACCTCTTTAAAAATAAAAGGACTCTCTGAGAGTTTTTTACCTTAGCAAGCAAGACTCTTCAAGATTGGGACACAAAGCTCCCGCACTGGTCAGGATGGGCTATCGTGGGCAGTTAGGGAGAGAAATGGTCCTAGGACAGGATGAGCTGCCCGCTGAGTGGGTGTGAGGAGTGCTGGGGAGGGATTCTGCTCAGGGAGAGCCTGTGGTTACCCATCAATAAATGTCAAATTCAGGGCACTTTAGTCACTGCCGTCTACAAAAGAGGACAAAGGCCAGCGTGTGGTCAGGGAGCCCATGGAAGGAGTTGGACTTGGGGAAGTTTCAGTCTGTAATTCACTCGTCTTGAAAAAATGGTCTTTAGTCAGTGAAGGAAGTTTTCAATGAGAAGGGGAGCCTGATAGGCTCTTTTTTTTTTCTATTTTACTGCAGAACATTCATGAAAAAAAATCAGCATTTCACAGGCATGTTTTTCCCTTCAAGAACTCTCACAACCGACAGGGTAAAACATCGCAACCCAAGTGACACTTTCTTTTTCTCACTGTGTGAAAGTCTTCAAAGGGGAGTTTGCCTCTTGTGCTGCGTGATTAAGGTGTTATTATAAAACTTGGGGCCAAGTACTTAATTTTTTTATTGAAGTAGAGTTAATTTACAATGTTGTGTTAGTTTCAAGTGTACAGCAAAGTGATTCAGATATATATATCTGATATATATATATATATGTATATATATATATTCTTTTTCAGATTCTTTTCCATTATGGGTTATTACAAGATATTGAGTATAGTTCCCTGTGCTATACAGTTGAGTACTTTGAATTGGGAAAAAAACTGAAAAGAGGGCTGCTCACTTTGGAAGTTTGGGTGTTCCCAGGTAATAGAGACTTCCTGCAGCCTACAAATAACAAGACCGGCTCCTTTGTGTGAGGAATTTGCATCAGAGGCAAAGATTTATAGTGAACGGCCACCAGATGGTGTCTTAGTTCTCCTCCAGCTCATACTCTGGCTTCCTTTGTTCTCTTCGCTCCTGAGAGCTGACATTTCATGGGAAGAACAGTCCATGCCAGGGAAAAAAGTGGGACCGAAGGAGTCACAAGTATGATTCTATTGATTCAGCCTGACAAAACTCCCAGCTCGGAGCCACAGTCAGCGACCGAGAGCGAGGATGAGTGCATGTTTCGTCACACAGGGTGTGCAACGATTAAAGGTGTATCAGTTCCCAACATGTACTTGGCCCTGACTCAGTGCTAATTGCTCCCCGCAAAGTGTTGATGCTGGATGCATAGCTGATTTCTCGCTCCTGGGGTGTTTGGGGGACGCAGCTTGAGGGGGAGGGAAACTCTGTCCTTGTAGAACCACCTTTACAGACCACACTGACATTCTAAATAAATCAAATCGGTTTAATTTTTTAAAATTCTCTCTTTGGAGACGGAAATGACTTTTTTTCTTTTCCACCAGGAAGAGAAAACAGGAATGCAAGTGGGTAAACTCAGTTCTAAATGAGCACAGTGACCTTTATAATTTTCTTCTCTTTAGCAGACATTTTTATGCTTTTCCCCAAAAGACTTCACAGTTTGTCAGGATAACTGGTCTAACTTCTCTGAGTTACTAGATCTGCCACAGATGCTTCCAGAATCTGGAGAGGGGATGTGCAGCAACTATGACTTTGGGACTTGGGATCCTGTACTCTCATGAAATAACCCTGTCCACCTCCTTGGAAACACCTCCATGCTCCCTCCTTGGAAATGTTTGCTGTCTGGCTGTCACTGCGAGTTTTATAACTTAGCACACAGGCACACCCATGAACCTCAGGCAGAGCATTAAGAAGGAAGAATCCTTGTCTCCCTCTTTTTCCTTCCATTTCCCAAGTCCGTAGGCATTCACGCCCCATTTCTATTCTCCAGGGTTTATCTCAGAGCGTGGAGAGAAAGCAGGCCAAGGCTGGGCCAGCCAGGGCCACCAGCAAGGAAGAGTTGACATATGGAGGACAATTCCTGTAACTTCTCAGTGCCTGAGGTTGCTAGAGAAGAACGTGGTCTTCTGTAACTTAGAAGATGCCGTTTGTGGACTTGAAATCCGTTTCCACGGGTAGCAATTTCCGGACTGTGCTTGTGCTACAAACCACGTCTCCATTTTTGCCAGCCACGTTCAGCCTATTTTATGTTCATGCATACATATGGGGGTACTGGCCAGAGGCCTCACAGAGATTTCTGAGAGTGGGTTTGGGTGTGCTGTAAGCAGCAATCCTCTCTTTCATTGACTGAGAACATCCACTTCGGTATGGCATGCATCTACTTCTTAACCTTTATTCATTTTGAAAGTTGACTCTACCATGCCATTTGCAGGAAAGTTAAAGGTGCTTCAAAAGAGCTAAGAGGTCTTCCGTCTTACCTGTCCCCTTAAGAGTAGCAGCAGTGCAGCTGATGGACATGTGCCCAGAGGAGTCAGACCAGCTGGTTAAACTCTTGGCTCTGTCATGTGGACGCTGTGTGGCTTTGCATCGATCACTACTGGGAACAAGTTTGCGCTTTATTCTGACGCCTCTCACGTCTCTCACGTCAGAGACCGTTCAGGGGGCAAGCAGCTCTTGGCCCTGGAGCCCTGGCAACTAGGTCGTACGGTTGGCTCTGCACCACCTGGTGGCTGATAGGGGTAAAGCAGTCTCCTCCGAAGATCACTGCGTTCTGGAGCGAGAGGCACTGTTTTTTTTTTTCCTGGAATTCAACTTTATTACTTATAAAGGGGAAGGGCAACCAAGATAAGTTTGAATCAAAATACATAAATGTAGTCTTAAAATTAAAAAAAAAAGCAGTTCACAAGTATAAAACCTGGGTGTCAGAGAAATCCAAGATAGGAAAGACCTATCCAATGGGAGGTGGTAGCAGCATACGGGGGGCAGGTGGCGGGGCAGAGGGGTAGGGACAGTGCTCAATTTCATAAACAAAGAAATAGAAAAAAGTACTCTTTCTAGAGTTGAGAAAAGCTTTGTAACTGAAACAAATAATATCACATTACTTAATGTGCGGTTTTCTCGACAAGTTGTACCTAAGCGGTACATGCCGTGGGAACCTGTCTTCAGTTGTCTTCCATTAGTATGGGCAGGGAGAAGTGAAAGGTGGAAGGCTGATGGAAGCACTTATAAAGTTCCCTTTTACCTGAAGGTGTCAAACAGCATCCCCTAGAAGTGTGAAACAATAATGTGTAGGTCAGTTCCTCCAAATCAATCAATGAGGACTAGGAAAGACACTGATCAATTTGCATGACATAGAGAACCACTCAGTGACTCAAATGCCACAGAAGATTATTAACCTGAAAGATCTTGGTTGATCGTTCCAATACCTAGCCTCATGAAAAAGTAGTTCAGTTTCCTATTTTATTTTATTATTTTTTTTTGCGGTACGCGGGCCTCTCACTGTTGTGGCGTCTCCCGTTGCGGAGCACAGGCTCTGGACGCACAGGCTCAGCGGCCGTGGCTCATGGGCCCAGCCGCTCCGCGGCATGTGGGATATTCCCGGACCGGGGCACGAACCCGTGTCCCCTGCATTGGCAGGAGGACTCTCAACCACTGCGCCACCAGGGAAGCCCCAGTTTCCAATTTTAAATGATTTAATCTTGCCTCTTTACTCTCAGTGAGGAAATGCAGGCTTAGAGAGGATGACGGGCTTGTCGGAGTTCTCACAGTAGTAGACTGTGGTGGTTAAGAACAAGCGGTTCTGGCGTCTCTGTGTCTGAATCTGGCCTTGGCAGTTGGGAGCTAGTGTAACCTTGGGCAAGTTTAGTGACTTCTCGGTAGTCAGTTTTCTTATCTGTGAAATGAGGGAAATAATGTTCACCACCTCACAGGTTTTAAGATGACATTAGCCAGTGCATGTGGAAGTGCTTAGCCCTGCCCCTGACCTCAGCGAGGGAGATGTCTCTGGAGCAATCTCCCTCACAGTGATTTATCTGTGGTTATAATTTTCCCTATGATGGATAACACTCATTTGACCTGAAAGTAGGAAAATGAAGTCTCTCAAAGACCACTGAAGGAAGCAGCCACAGATATTTGGCTTTCAGACAGAACATCTGAGTCTGGTCGCTGAGCAAAAGGAGAGCGCTACCATGGCTCAAATTCATTAGCAAGGATTAAAGGTCCTGGGTGCTCTAGAAATATTTGTTAGATGAGTGAAGGGAAAGGGGCCTGAACACAGAGCTTGTGAGCAGGGGTGGCCCTTTTCTCAGAAGGGAGAGGTAGGTACTCAGAGAAAGTCTCATTTTGCACTATCCACCGTGGCCCAAAGTCCAGCTGGGACCACTGCAGTCACCATTTCTCTGGCTTCCTCCGTTCCTGTAGCAGTGACATTTACAAAGCCCACTCACTTAATGCTGCAGAGACCACGTTCTTGAAATAACTGCAGAAGTCTTCATCCTTTCCGGGACTGGTCTGGCTGTTCTGTTGAAAATAGGACAGGTGAACTTTGCCAGAAGCCAGGCAGTCGAAGGGAGAGAGGAAA